GTTTAAAAAAAGCCAAAAAAAAAAAAAAAAAAAAACCAAACGAACAAAATAAACACAGAAAAGCAGCAATAAAGAATCAACTCAAGACAGTGTTAATGATGTCTAAAACCAAAGCGTTCATACGAAAATTGCAGGAATTCAATTGTGGTAACACAGCCAAGCTTTCTGCAGCAGACAGGCTTCTAGCAGAACACACCCGACACCACAGGAAAACCAACACTGCACACTGACTTTTATGACTGCAGCATTTTAGTAACTCCTAGTAACTCTTCCATAGTAAACAGATTTCAGATATATGCAAAAATAAATGTCTGGAAGTTCATTATCATTCCGGTAAAGATCCCAAGAAAAGCTGGGTATTTGGGCTAAAACAATTCTACTTCCTCCTGCAGACCCCCAAAAGATCCTGATCCACCTGGAGATACCCAGACGGTCTATGCCCCACACTGGGTGCCCAGCAAAGCTCTCACCAAAGCCTTCCCCTGGAGGTATGGCCCCCTGAGCAAGGCCAAAAATGGAAGAGGGTCAGAGTAGGAGAGGCCAGAGTGGGAGAGGGCCAGGAAAGAATAAAGCCAGAGTAGAAGAGGGAGGGTGGAAAGAGCCAAAGGGGCCTTCTCCTGGCTCTCTCCTAATGCCTCTCTCCATTTGCAAAGCTAGAGAAGGGAAGCCCTGTAGCTCTTAGCAGATCACCCAGCCCTCCAGGACTCACAGCCTCATACCCACACAGCTAGGAGCACAGGCATCTTTCCTTCCCTACAAAACACAGGAGCAGCACACATTTAATCCCAGCACTGGGGAGGCAGAGGCAGGTGGATCTCTGTGAGATTGAGGTCAACCAGTCTACATAGCGAGTTTCAGGCCAGTTGGAACTACAGGGAGACCTAGTCTCAAAAAAATCCACAAGAGCTGTCTTTGGTCACTTCTCACTGGGCACCCCAAAGCACAAACCTGGCCTAGAGCCCAGCACCCACGGGCAGGGTAGATTGGGGAGACAGGAACTCAGCAAAGTCTGCATGCTTCCTTTTAATCTACTGTCCTTTGGTGTAGCCAGTCACCCGTTCAAGACTACAGGACTGGTCAAATGCTTTGTTATGGTCTTTCAAGCTGAGCTGTTACATACTTCGTTACACACTGAATTCTGTGACCAGACATAATCCTACTCCAAGACCTGATATACACAGCAGACAGAAGTTGACAGCTAGGCATGGTGTACGGCACAGGCAAGAGAGATGGGATGAGGGCAGGACTCTTCCCTGGCTCTCCAGGGCTAGTCCAACCTGGGAGCAGTCCTGCAAGCTCTAGATTTGCAGAAGAAAGGCTAAAACTGCTCATAAACTGCTTCAGCCCTCATTCCACAGGTGGAAAAACTGAAACCTAGAGACACAAAACACCTTAGCCAAAGCATGCACATGGCTGGTGGCAGGGCTGGGGCTAGAAGCTGCCCCTGGAACCTAAGGGAGCAGGAGACATACCCTCCTCATGTCTGACCTACCGTCCATACCTGTACTGGGCCTTCCCACGTGGGCCACGTGATGACAGGACTAGGGGATTTCATGAGCTAACAGAAGGGCACCAGCAATACTGAGCCAGGGAAGTTTGTGCATAATCTGAAACCCTGGGGCCATCACTCCTGGAAGTCCAGATTACCTTTGGGCATGATCTGATGCATGGCAACGGAGAGGAAGAAGATGGAGTCGCTGTAGTAGGTTCCTGAGCCAGCACTGAAGTGCTTCTGCATGGCCTCCACGACAGGGAAGAGCTTGTCCATCAGCACAGCAACATCATGGAAGATGACCTGCAGTGGGGAGCAGGGAGACCCCAACAGTCAGCCAACTACCTTTCTCCTTGAGTTCCAGACACCTAACACAGACCTGAGCCCGGGAGGCAGAAACAGACGGCATCTCTGGGATCTTCCAGCAGGAGTTAAAAGAATTGGGGCAACTGAGGGCAAAGGAAGAGGGGAGGCAATAAAGAGCAGAGTCCAGTCACACAGAGGCCAGCTATGGATGTTGTTGAGGGAGGGGACAATGAAAAAGCAGAAGGCTAGGAAATGAGCCCAGCTCCCAGGCTGCTTTCGAACTTAAGACAGCAAAGCCCTCTGTGTTGACAGTGCCAGTGCCAGGGTGAAAGGACAGCAGTGGCAGTGCCTGAGAAGCTCTCAAACTGCTGAGCCCAATTCTCACCCCCCACAACCCCGCTCATGAGGCTGCCCATGTCAACACACTCCCTGGCCTTCCAGAACCGTCAGTCGTGCTCTAGCCCTGTACCATGGCTAACTGCCCCCACACTTGCTGATCTCCCTCCAGCGGTTTCTGTCTTTGCTCTATGCTACTAATATTTTACCTTATTTCTCTTCTATTTCTCCTTAATCTATATTCTTTTTGTTAGCATATTTGCTTTTGTCCTTAGGTCTCTTTAAATTTCTAAAACACTACTGAACTTAGTCTAGCCAGGCACAGTGGCTCACATCTATAAATTCCAGCACTCAGGAGGTTGACACAGGGGGATTACTCCAAGCTCAAGGCCAGCCTGGGCTACACAGTGGGTTCCAAGCCAACCTGGACTATAGAATAAGATCGTGCCTCAAAAAAAGAAACCCAATATAGTTCACTGTGTCAGTTATCACTCTTTAAAACCTGTTTCGTGTAACTCTTCAACTCCTCACCTCTCTGCAAAAACTTAAAATTTTTCTTGACATTTGCTTCTAAGGTCCTGTTATCCTTAGTCCCTTTTCTGGACATTCTTTTCCTCTGATTTTGACTTTTTCTTTTGGTGGCCTCTCAGCCAGGCCACTTCTTACGATTTTCCAACATGAACCCTAAATTACATCTCTCTCCTGCCCCTCCTGTGACTTCCCTGACAAGCTAACCTCACCCTCTCCAAACATCCCCTGTTGTACCTCAGTCATTTTCCAAATACATGAATTCTTTTCTCTCTACTTAGCTTCAAAACCTCCAAAGCTTCTCACTGCCCTTGGTTCCTGTCCAAATTCCCCAGCAATGCTCAGCAGGAACCCTGTAACAGAGGCTGTCTAAACTTCCCTTGCCTCCCCTCAGGACTGGGCAGAACTGAACCAGGCACCCCTCATCCACCCTGGTCAGTCACCTCTTTATGACTTATGTCCTTGTATATCTCGACTTGCTCTTCCCATGTCTGGGTCTCTCTCTCTCTCTCTCTCTCTCTCTCTCTCTCTCTCTCTCTACAGCAGGAACCCTGTAACAGAGGCTGTCTAAACTTCCCTTGCCTCCCCTCAGGACTGGGCAGAACTGAACCAGGCACCCCTCATCCACCCTGGTCAGTCACCTCTTTATGACTTATGTCCTTGTATATCTCGACTTGCTCTTCCCATGTCTGTCTCTGTCTGTCTCTGTCTCTGTCTCTGTCTCTCTCTGTCTCTCTTCTGTCTCTGTCTCTGTGTCTGTCTCTGTCTCTGTCTCTCTGTCTATCTCTGTCTCTCTGTGTCTTTCTCTGTCTCTCTGTCTCTGTCTCTGTCTCTCCTCTCTGTCTGTCTCTGTCTCTCCTCTTTGTCTCTCTCTGTC